TACATTATTTTGTTTTTGTTTATTACGTATCATTCTACAACGGCCTGTATTTAAATGACGATAATAACTGGATAAATGGAACGTTGATGAATCTGCACGTAATGGAATTAATATACGTGTTCCACAATCACATTTTATTGACGCTTCTACATCTTTATCATTTGGTGAAACTAAATTAATCATATAATCATCATCTGGTTTGATAACAATACCATTCAAATCGTGATTACACCATTTATCTACCGCATTTGTTATTACTTCTAAATATTTTTGTTGGACATTGTAAATTGACATAGGGGATGATGAGGATTGAGAAGGTAGCGGTACAAGTTGTGTTAATATTGGAATCGTTGTTGTTAGTATTTGAGTATTGAATGCTGATAATGCCACAGTCGAATTCTCTGAGGAATGTTGTTCCACATCAATACATTGTTGGCGTTTATTTCACATTTACATCGATGATGGTTTTTACGATATTACGCAATATTATCTGTTGTTATCTTTCGTTATAGATCAGCAAAAAACTTTTCAAATACTTTTCTATTTTCTAGAATCAAGACGATATTTCGAACTATTTTAAAAATCAAAATTCTTGAAAATCGACTGGATTTTTAACAAAGTAGAAAATAAGCATTTCCAATATTTTAATAAAATCGTTCACGATTTCATAAAAGCTGTAAAGTCATTTCTGATTTTCAAAGTCGATTTTTTATAAATTAGAAGATAAATCAAATTAACAGTGAGGACTATTTAAAAGATGTCGAAAATGAAGAGTCAAATGAATGTCAACGGTTTCCTGTCGTCGGATGACCGAATAGGCCTATACCGCGAAAAATGATTACTAAAAAAATATCACTGGAATTACTCGATCTGGTTATAGTTACTCGAAAACACAATGGAGAAGTATAAGGAATATGTTAAGGACAACGATTTTCTCTAGAACTTGTTTTGTTGATTAGAAAATTCTTTAAAAAAAGGTACTTGTCAGATGAAGAGGGATAAGGATTCTTAATATGATAGTTGGCCTTGTCTACATAACATATGAAGGTACTAAACAGCGATAAAACGACTGTGAAACTAGTAGACACTTACGGCAATTTGTTTATTCAATTTCCAATGCATCAGTAAACCTAAAAGATGAATACATGATACATAAAATCCGGTACAAAATGTATTCGTATCCTGCAACCTATGAGTTAGTGAGGCCTTTTTCAAGTTGGTTTTTGATATTTCAGACTTTGCATTTAACTATTTGATGAACTTAGAACGCTTTATCAAGACATGTATATATATACTTTATTCTAGGTTGAGTTCCAGCATGCTGGATACCCACATCTTCATTGCTTATTATGGGTCAATGATCAACCGATAATTGACACGC